CCCTTGTTCTGATAATGCATGAACTTTTAAAGGTAATATACATGTCTGTATTAATGCAGTATAGACTGTGTGTTGTACACAAGTTTGCCAAAGATGATTTTTTGTTTTCACTTGAGCAGGTAAAATATATGTTACCTGTTCTGTAGCTTTTCTAGGTTTGTTTCTTTATTTATGGATTGAGGATTTTCAGGAGGATCTTCCCCTATTTACCCTGATCCATAGCAACCTGGAATGAATCCACAGCCTCTCATTTCTTGTGGAAATAAAAGCATAACCTCTTTCCCAATGCAACATATCTTTGACTTCCATTTTGAAGTCAAGATATTTTAAAAATATATAGGTTGGTTTAATCTGGAAGCTTTCATAATCAAATGTCTCTTAGTAGCTATTGCTTCTTTATCAGTAGTCAAAAAAATTTAAAGACAACACAATAGCATAAAAGATCCAGACCCCCTGTGTGTTTTCTATCTTTGCATGGTTTTTTGCATTGTATTACTTTCTTCTTTCTTTAAAGACTTTAATATCTTTGAACTGTTTTTATGACTGTATATACCATTTCTCTTTTCTCTCCCAAGCCTATGTACATTTTTAAACACACTGTAAACCACTTAGAGATTTTTTTTCTGTCTGCATATATCCTTATTGCATATCTATAATCTTTTCTGTCTGCATGAGCAAAACTTAAATTCACCATGCATTTTAGTTCATAGTGTACTGCTAGAGCTCTCTCTGGCAGCACACACACTGGCAGCTCAAGCCAGAAGGCAGCAGCTGGGAGATAGATCACTGTACTGCAGTTCGCTTGAGAGACATGAGACAAGGAAGACATGCTTGGCTCTATTATTTTGTGTGTTTAGGACCTTTTTTTAAAAAGCTTTTTTCAGGTCTTGTGTGGACATAGGTGCCCCACTTTGGGTTCCATATGTAGGCAGTCTTTTCTGTTTCACCAGCCAGTTGCCAAATAACCACGTAGAGACTTATTTTTAATTGTAAATGTTCAGTCAATAGCTTAGGCTTATTTTTAGAAAGCTATTATAACTTAAATTAACCCATTTTTATTATTCTGTGTGCTGCCCTGAGGTTCATTTCCCTCATACTCACACTTCCCATCCTGCTCACTCTGCATCTCATTGAAACACCTCATGATTCCTCAGACCCCATCTTTCTTCTCCCCAGTATACTCTTTGCCCCCCAAAATCCTGCTGATCCATTGGCCAGTCAGCTTTTTATTAATAATGAGCACAACATATCTTCACAATATACAAAAGGTTTATCCCACAACAATGGTGGATTTTGTCAAAGGTCCTTTCTGCATCTATTGAGCAGATTATATTTTTTATCATTTATATGATTTATTGTGTTTATTGGCTTATATATTGAACTACCCATGAATCTCCTATATGAAGCCAACTTGATCCAGGTGGATTTTTTTATATATGACTATATGCAGCTTAAAAGTAATTATTGAGGTTATTTCCCTCTATGTTTATTAGGGATATTGGCCAGAATTATGATAATCATCAATATCATTAATGTTATTCTCCTTTTCTTTTACATTCTCCCTCACTCACTCTTCTTCTGTTTCTCTTTCTCCTTTTCCTACTCCTCCTCTTGATGTTGTTTCTTTACCTGGTTTCTGCTTTAGGTAATACCAGCTTTGTAAATGAAGTTTGTTAGTGGTTTCCATTCTCAGTTTTTTTATTATTAATTTTTACATCCTGACCACAGTTTCTCCTTCTTCATTTCCTTCCAGTCCTTCTCCCATCTATTCTACACCAATATCTACTACTCCTCTATTTCTCTCTAGAAAAGGGCAGATTTCTCATGGATATCAACCAAACATGGTATATCAATTTGCAGTAAGTCTAGACACCTACCTTTGTATTAAGGCTGGATGAGGTGATCTGATGGGGGGAAAATGGTCAGAAAAGCAGGCAAAAGAGTGAGAGACAGGCATTGCTCCCACTGTTAGGAGTCCCACAAGAAGACCAAACTACACAACTGTAACATATGTACAGAGGGTTTATAAGGGTTGGCAGTTCAGTCTCTGTGAGCCCTTATGAGCCCAGGTTAATGGATTTTGTGGGTTTTCTTGTGGTGTCCTTTACCCCCTGACTACTACAATCCTTCCTCCCTCTCTCCCACAGGAGTTCCTGATATCACCCTAATGTTGGCTGTTAGTCTGCCTCTGTTTCTGTCAGTTGCTGGATGAATCCTCTCTGATAATCATTGGAATCAATCTATGAGTGTAGCAGAATATCATTAGAAATAGCACAATATTTTGTTATTTAATATCCATGAGTTTATATAATTATTAGAGCATTGCTTGCTGTTGAATTTATGATTGTAATTCATGTGTTATGTAAAATACATGAAGTTATTTCAGTTTGTTTGAATCTGTTAAAATTTGTTTTGTGTCCCAAACTGTTGTCCGTTGTAGAGAAGCTAAATGTAATATGTGCATATTTTTGGTTTAGTGAAATATTCTACAGAAATCCAATAGGTCTACTTGATATTTGATGCCATTTAATTATGATGTTTCCTTTTTTTTTCTACATGACTTTTCTTTTGGAAAAAGTTGGGTATTGAATTCACCTCTTATTATTAGGTTTGTGTTAATCTATGTCTTTATTTACAGTAGTACATTATAAAAAGGTTTTATATAACTTTTTATTATCATTATTGTTAACCGACTGTTGATGTTTTACTAAAAGACTTACTTAAAATATAGACACGATAAGGGGTGACTTAAGTTTCAGAAAATCAGGAGATTTAGGTCTTCATCACAGTAACCTAAACATACATTCAATATGAAGTTTACTATGTCTTAAGTATAAGGTAATCTATATAAAAAAGAGCCTGCTCTGAAGGGATTTTATTTATTTATTAATTTAGAGCAAGAAAGTGGACAGCACATAGGAGGTGCTTGGTCAGGTGGAGGGTGAGGGAAGGAAGAATAATCCAGTTCAACGGCCTAGACCATATTTCTAACAAGATCATAGAAATCTTTCACCAAATTGAGGAAAGACATACTCAAACAGACTGAGAAGCACACAGAACTCCAAATAGACAAGACTAGAAAAGAGACATTCATAAAATAATATATTTAAAACACTAAATAAATAGAACAACGTGAGGATTCCAAGAACTGCAAAATATATCCACAGGTAAATCTAAAAGAAAGCTCATCAGATTAGCAGCTGATTTCTGAATGGAAACTGTAAAAAGCAGAAGAGCCTAGAACAAGGTATTTCACATTCTAAAAGACCATGATGTCAACCTAGACTATTGTTCCCAGAAAAATCATCTGAATAGCTGAAGGAGAATAAAATATTCTCTCTTTTCTATGCCTAAAAGTCCAAGATATAGTACTTCCATTGTACACCACAGTTTTACACTTTGCTTTTCTGTATGTGGCTACTTATGTTTTATATTCTTTGCTTGAATGGCCCAGTTCTTTAGACTTTTCTTTAAGTCCTGATATTCTATTATGTACTCCATCCATTCTACCTGTCTTTCCCCTGATCTTTGGTTACCTTTTCATTTCCACCTTCATTTCAGCTGGAGTTCCTTTTCATATTTCTTTCTCTTCCTGAATATAGTTATCAAATTCTGAATTGTCTTCATCATTTGGATATATATATATATATATATATATATATATATATGACATCATTCAAGTGCTATTTTCTTTATGTTATATTGACAAGTTTGTTCATGTCTTCTTTAAACTCTTCAAATTCCTTGATAAAATTTTGTAATGTTTTAAAGGTTTTGTGTCCTGAGGATCATTCTCAATGTAAAATATTTCTATAAATGTAGTGATTTGGTGGGATACAGTCACACTGCTGGGCTATACCTATTGTGTTTTAGCAATGAGACCAGAGAATGTGGATTTCTTTCATTGAGTGTATGTCTGATGTTAGATTCTAGGGTGCCTCAGAGTTATCCCAGTGGACAGAATGTCTTAACATTCAGATTATACAGGTGATCTAAGGTCCACTGGACTCACCAGTCTGTGTGGGCATAGTGGATATTTGATCTGGGCTAGGCCTGAAGGTTGGATATGCCAGGGTAGGGTCAGAAATATTTATCAAACTTGGCTCCACTATTGCTTATTAATTGAAGTGTTTACTGATTAGTGCAAACTCTTGTGAAGGCTAAGAACCATAATGTAAATAAAAATAAAGTCAATGGTATCATAAATATTGTAATACCATACTAGAATAAACAAACTCCAAATCAGAAATTCAAACAAATACTAGGAAAGGATTAATATGCAAATAGTAAGATTTATTTAAATTTTTAAAAACAATCAAGGTCAACACAATCACCTGGACAAGTTAATTTTGTTCATTAAGTTACATTTTTGTAAGGTGCTTGAAAAACCCAACAACTAAAATGTAAGTTGAAGTTTAGAATTTGAACTACTAATTCTGGCACATGTGAAGAAGAGAGAATGGTGGGAAGAAATCAAACAAAGCTAATGTGGATTGTTTTCAGATATATTAGCTAGGTAGAGATAGGAAACATGACTGACAATTACAGTGGAAGTATATGCTGTTCCTTTACTCCATTGTGCTCTGGGAACCTGATTCTTATTTTCTAGATAGAGTTTCAGTGACCTTAGTCATACAGACAAACAATATATCTTTGAGCTTGACTCAACTCCATAAATGTGTCACAGAATTCAGAGGTCAAGGTCCAAAGGTATTATTGATTATGTTATTTTAAAACTTTGGATGCAAATTATTTCTGCTAAGTGGGACAATACAGAAGAATGGAATGTTTACTGTTTGTAATCATTTCAATGTATCTATGCCTCTAAATTCCTGGTGGAATGTGACCAGCCTAAGTAGAGGAGGTGCTCTTTCTTCACATGACCCTGTTCATTTGTACTAGAAATTTAATGAATTTTGCCTTCACAGTTGCATGAAGTTTTACACTCTTGTTTAACCATTGGGTAGTCACAGGTTAGAGAAGCCTTCAATTCTGCACAGTTAGAATTCGTATTCACATTTACTGAATATTCAAGTATTCATGTTTGCTAAAAAAAAGAACAAAGGTATTCATTACTTTGTTATTATTTTCCTCTATTAATAGTGACAAAATAAAACACATAAATTGGGAGAAGGGGATTGAGCAAATGAATGAATGTCCTTTAAATTAGAGCTTTATGAGATGTTATTGAGATGAATGAATTTCTTCACTCACAAAAGGCTTGAAAAAATTAACTTCAGTGATTCTTTGAGGAACTAAACTATCTAGAGGCTAGAAAGATGGCTCAGTGATTAAGAGTCCTTGCTCTTCTTGCAGAGAACCTGGTTTTGATTTTCAGAATCCACATCGTGGCTGAAGACCTACTATAACTGCAGTTCCATGGGACCCAATGTTCTCTTCTGTCCTCCATGGTCATAGGGTTCAAATGTATGTGCATAAATACATACATGCACACTGACACTTATAAACATAAAATAAAGGTAAATATTTAAAAAGAACCCCACTATTTAAAATATCAGTCATTATGCAATTATTTTCTAAACTTGAATGTGGCTAATATTAAAACCCTATATACTCAGCAAATCAAGTTTCATTAATATGTTCTTATAGCTACTGTGCTTAATAGCCAGCCTCTTTATGTGAAAATACTGGCCATTTAATCATTTCAGAATATTCTGTTCTCCATGATTGCCTTAGATTTTGATTATATTTTTCATACCAGGGGAGCTAATTTTATGTAAACAGAGTTTTGGTAAAGTAGGTAGTAGAGCATTTTCTTCTGATTATTAAATATTTATATTCAAATGTCCAGCAGTGACCACAAACTCAAGAAAACTCATTTGAAATTCATGACCTAACAGTTTTTGTCATGTCTTTGATGTATATCGACAGCTCATGGACCTCCATTCAGCTCACCCAGTCTCAGATAATTGGAAACTCATAATTATGAAATCATTCAAAATAACTTATTTATTCCTTTGTACTTTAGTTATTGTTTATTGAGACAGAGTCTCATTGTGTTGCCTAGGCTAGAATCTAGCCCATCCAATCACATATCTCTGTTAATTCCACCTCCAGAGAAGCACCACTACAGGCACATGGCTAGTCCTCTTTCACTTTGTGTGGTGGCTCTCTGCAGGTTTTACAGCTGGTAGGGGAAAAAATCATGATCTATGAAGAGATAAAAATGAAAGTCAGCCTGATTTTATGGTAACAGTGCTAGGCCAGAACTTCTAGAGTCTGGCTGAGATCTTTTTACTTAGCCATGTTTAAGTCCAGGATAATTTTGGAAAACCTTTTTTTTTGATAGCAATTTACTCAGTCCCAAGTACACAGCAATTGAAGACATAATTACATTGAGATTCTTTACAAAGTACATCTGGCTTCTTTCATAAGAATGGGTACCATTCACTTAGAGGTAGTGCCCAAGATTCAGGGCCTAGGAAGATGATTGAAGTAAACATAACACCTGCAAGATTGGCCAGGCCCTAACATGACACAAAAGTCACTTTGCTATTGTAAAGCACAAATGACATCACTCATAAGAATGGGTTTTATGACCTAACATCAATGCTGAAGATTTACAGATAAAGGGTCTAGGAAAAGTAAAACAAATTCTGGGAGATACGGTGGAGCCTGTCTCATCAGACAGCAAAGGGTCACCAGGGTATAAAACCTGTAACTCCTGACATTCCAGAAAGAGCAGTTATGCATCTCATTCCACTGAAGAGATAAGGTATATGTTTAACTTTCCTGACTTCCCTGGTGCTTATCTGTGTGCACAGGGCCTTTTTGCCCTTTACACTTGTCCATGTACATGTACATGTACATAGTCATCAGCACTGAATAAGCACAGTTAACAAAAAAGTATTATTATTCTACCTTTTCTTTCTGCAAACCATTTTCATAACTTTTGCTGTAGCAACACAAAAATAACTAGTTCTGAATCTATATCTCTTAGCTGGCTCTTTCTTTATGCTTTTTCTAAGAGCTCTTTGCGTGATACAATTTCTGTAACTAATGGGAGATGATTACAGGAAGATCCAGATGATTGGGATCAGACTGGACTACATAGTGAATTCTGGGTTAGCTTTGGTTACGTAGTGAGACCCTGTTTTAAAACTGAAAACAGCTTAAACCACAAATAAGTAAATTTAAAAAATACAAAAATAAGAACAAAGATTAAAGTCTTGCAATTTGTTGTTTGTTGCTGCTAGGACAGACTCCTTAAAAAGTACATTCAGCAGAGCTGTGGATATTTGGCTCTGAATTTTTTTAGCTTATAATCTTAATATCATCAGTACTTTGAACTTTATCCATACAAACACACAATAAAGAATTCTGTAATTCCCCAGAGAGTGCACAAAAATCCCAGCGAATTGCCACCAGAATTTTCCATATTAACTTTGATGTTATTTTCCATTTTTATAAATACCTAACTGCTGTTACAGTTTCTTATGTAGCCTGGGGGAGTTTGATCAATATTTCAAACTGGATTTGAACTCCTAATGCTCCTTCCTCTGCCCTCAGAATGTTGGGATTATATTTTTTCTTTGTATTTAAACTTTGTTAATTCTTTGTTTAAAAACGAGATACTATGACATTCATTTCAGTCCCTTCCTGTGATGAAACACTAAAATTTTTAAAGAACTCACAATGTGTATAGATTTGATTTAGACTCTAAAAATGCACAAAAATGCTAAAAAACAGCAAATCATGTAACTGCTGACTAAATGGAAGGAGATTCAAATAACAATCTAGGGCCAGTGAGATGGATCCAGGTAATAGCACTTGCCACTCAGCCACTTGAGGTCAATCTGTCACAACTTTATCATGGAAGGAGAGAACCAATTCACACAAGTTGTCCTCTAACTTCAACACACAATCACACACAGAAGCCATTTCACACATACATGTGTCTGTACATATACAGAGTGACACAAATACCCATTCACAAATAAATAAAAATGTAATAAGAAATTCAAATGATGCTCTGGAGGAGCTTGAGAATTTACTGTGCTAAGCTCCTTGGTGGGTAAAGAATTGTAATATATTTCTTAGTTCTCTGGGCTGACCTGTGTACTACTATCTCAACCACTTAGATTTGTATTGCTTTCTCTTCTTAAAATGCCAATCTTAAGATCCTACTGTCATTGAGCATAAGAAAATTCACTTTTAATTTTAGTGAACTATAGCCACAGGAATATTTCTGTAGACTCCAATAGCAATAATAATAACATAGTTATAAATATGCACTGATTTTAGGTGTTGCCTTAGACAACATAAAGTATCATGTTTTTCCTTTCTTTTTTTTTTTTAGATTTATTTATTTATTACATATGCAGTGTTCTGTCTGCACATATCCCTGAAGGCCAGAAGAGGGCACCAGATCTCATTACAGATGGTTGTGAGCCACCATGTTGTTGCTTGGAATTGAACTCAGGACCTTTGTAAGAGCAGCCAGTGCCCTTAACCTCTGAGCCATCTCTCCAGCCCAAGTATCCTGTTTTTCAATGTCAAAAGTACATACATCCTAAACAAAGGAAAATCTGTAATTCCAAAAATGACATTAAGTAAATTTTTGTCTCTTGAAAATAAGGCCAAGCTATTAAATCTTAAAACAAATTGACATTTTACATTATTATATTAGTATATTAATAAAACTTACTGCATAGTCCATCATCACAGTGATCAGAACAAAGGGCACATGGTTGTCCTATTGTGTAGGGGACGTATTGCCTTCTTACAATATTACCACTGAAATTGAAATGCAAAATTCAAATACTTTTAATTTTTCTCTGTACACTCTAAAGTTTGCTTATATCACCAACACATATTTTCATACATATATATTTTATCATATATGTTTCAATATATATTTTTCATATATATATACATATATATATATATATATATATATATTCCTATTAAAAGCTCTAGCTATGCCGTACACAAACCTAACATTTCCTAAGTGTATTCAGATAGAGATGTGAAATAATGGGATAATTAATCCATTCACTCTTTCCCTCAACCATCATCTCAGAAATAAATAGAGTAAATAAGAGTCTAAAATTTAGAAAAGTTTTAATGTTGAAACACTCTCTGGATTTGTTGATAAACCTGAACAATAACTAAGACAGGAATGCTGCTTAGGTATAAAAGATATTTCCTATAGAGAAAGTTACATACAGGTATATGCTGTGATTCCTATAGTGTGGAGGAAGTCCATTTGATGATGTACTGAGTTTCAGGTATTTAAGTGTATAATTGTGAAAGACCTAATGTTTAGGAATGTTTGGGGATTTCTGAAGGCAGCATGTGGGTTTGAGATTTCCATGCTTATCAAAAAGAGAATATTAATGTGAAAAAAACTTTGTAAAACCATCTGAAGTGTTCAGTATTCTGAAATTGCCAAGCCTGTACCTCAGTAGGAGCATCACTTCCCTGATCATCACAGGAAATTAGAAAAGTCAGATTCTCCATTGCACTAAGGGTGGCAGGGTGGTGTGTGCAATGCCCAAGGGTTTGCAGCAGAACCTCTCCTCTATATGCAGAACACAGCTCTAGGTGTACGAGCAATGTTAAGAATGAAAAAGTCATAAAGCAGTGTACAAGATCTGTCACTTGCTCCTCTTCATTACTCATCTGACACTTCTAGGTACCAGGCTCCAGATACTACTGGACCAGGTAGCTGGATGGAGTCCAATGGCTTCCTTCTTTGTGTTATTGAATGTCAACAGAAACACGCTTGAAAATTCTTTGAGATCCTACTATTCAACTCACAAACATTAGAAATGAATCATTTAAAAGACTTGATTTGAAGACCCTCATCCTCTTGTAAGTTTCTTGTATTAAAAGGATAACAGAGGTGGAGAGATGTACTAGCACTTAAGAGTACATATTCCTCTCTTAGAAGACTTGGGTTTGGATCCCAGCATCCACTTCAGGTGGCTTGTAACTGTCTGTAACTCCAGTTCCACAGGATTTGATGACTTTGGTCTTCACAAGTGTTTAAGGTTGACAAACTAGGACTGGATAACCTATCGGGAGTCTCCTCTCTAAAGAAAACTGATTCTTTCTCAACACCCATAGATTACCTATAGCTCCTTATCCAGGGCAATATAACCTTTTGTTATCACCCTTGGTTGCCTCCCTGAAGTCAAAGACAAGAGCCTATTGTTAAAAACGTCACCAACTTCAGATACAGGAGTTGGAGAAATAGAGCTAGAATTGATCTGGAAGACTCTTTCCTGCAGATTAGCTCTCATAGTATTAGAAGATGCTATGTAAACTGCCAAGGGAGAAAATAACCATTAGTTTTCTTTCTGCAAAATCATAACAAGAACTAGCCGGGTTGCTATTTTTCCAAGCTTAATTTTTGTTGCTTTATTTATGCATGTGAACAGCCATACACCCACAAAGGCCCGAAAAGGTCCTTAGACCTGAAGTTAAATATAGTTATGACCTACTTGATGTGGTTGTTGGGAACCAAACTTGGAACCTCAACAAGAACAGCAAAAATTCTTAACCACTGAGTCATCTTACAGTCCTATGTTGCTACATTATACCTGCAAAAATTTTCCAAGTCTTGAACTTCAATGGCACATTGAGAGGTCCTTAATATATTTCAAATAGTTAAGAGGCTAAAATCTTAAATCTTTCTCCTTAGAATTTACTAAAAAATTCTGGAAAACTCATTCTCTAGATCTTGATTTTAAAGCCAGAAATTCCCTTCTATGCTGTGTTTGAGCTCTTAAAAAAATTTCCATGAAAAATGAATATATATATTCATAATCTGTTAATTTATTTTGTATTTAAAAATACTTTAATTACATCTGTATCTATGTTTGTCCATGTGCAGCTTTGTGCATGGACAATAACAAAGCTGAGGTCATGAATTTGTGAGGACGTGTGCGGTAGGAAGGTTTCCAGTAGAGGGAAGTGTGGAAATGATGGAAATACAGTATACTCCTATATGAAATTCGCAAAAAAATAAAACAAAACTTTTTTTAGGTTTTTGAGACAGGGGTTCTCTGTGTTGCCCTGGCAGGCCACAAACTCACAAAGATTGCCTGACTCTGCCTCCCAAGTCCTAGGATTAAAGGTGTGAACCACTACCACAACTCAACAATTAAATTTAAAAAATAGATACAACAACCTATATAATCAGGGGTAGGATCAATTAATTAGAAGCACCACAATCACTAACCTGTGTCATTCACTCATGTTCACTCCTGGTCTACTATTAAAAGTTTGCTTTGTAACCTACAAACATAGCATGAACAGACAATAGGAATTCACAATCCTTATACTTGGGTCCTCATGAGGTCACCATTAGTGCAGAAAACAGCAATGGAGGAGGGAGAAAAATCATTTTTAAAGACAGGGAAAACATTTCCAAGTGTAATTCATGGAACTGATGAGATCGACATTTCAAAGATTTAGTTAAATAAGTTTCGACTCTAGGGAATATTTAGAAATTTTTATTTTCCTCTCTGTGTAAATTATATCTTTAATTTGTTTTTATATCATGATAATTTTAAAAAGTCAAATTGCATTTGTCATTGTTGAAAATGAACTTTGAAGTGGATACTTACGGAGGACAATAGTGACAAACATATATGAATTGCAATAAATCCCCAGAGCACTTAGCAACTCCACATGCAATTTGGTTAGACGAATTCCAAACAACCTATATACCCAGAGAAGAAGACAGGGCACATGTCAGAGAGGAAAATAATGCAGAAAAACAAATACAAAATTAAAAACACCACTAGTAAACTTTGTTTCTATATGCCTTATATACATAGTTAAGTGATTGATTCAAAATACATATGTTAGAACATCCCTAAGGGGCTGCTGTTGGTCAGCTAGTCTGGCAAATCTTTCAGGAAGCACTCAGTAGAATTTATGGAAGCTGAGAATAGCTTCAGCCCCATCTCTGAGAAGCTTTGTTCTTTGTCATCTTTGACAGTTTCCAAGATATGAGGATACAGAAGGCTGGGCTGAGGCCAAGGAGCTTTGTGTCAAAATGAAAGGCATCAAAGAATCTAGGGACACCAGGAGGACCATGGTGTGATGTAGAACTTCTCTGACACTGCTTCCAACTCTACAGGCATGTGACCATAAACAGCTAGAGAGTAACCTGGATATCAGGTCAATTCCTGGTCAGACATCAAACTGACCAAGATGTTGCTGGTGACCACTCTGAAGTGCTTTTGCAAAATCAAGTGTCCTATGATCATAGAACCATGACCTTGGATGATGAACCAGAACTTTCTCCCAGAAGCACAGAAGAGTCTGTTCAGTTTGGTACTAAGCTGTGATCTTGAGTATCTTCTTTTCTGTGTGGGCAGGGATCATGAGTAGCTGCAAGCCTTACTGGTTCAGCCTGGTGGAAGGCTGACACTCAGCATATTTCCTAGAAGTTGTATGTGGTAGGTGCTTCTGTGTGGAGCAATGGCCTTGGATATCCTGGTTCCCTTTGAAACTGTGTTTCAGCTCAAGTTTCTCAGACTACAGGATCTGATCAGGCCAGTCATTTGGAGTTGCTTTGTGCCTGTACCACATCTGCATCTCCTCTCTACCCAGCCAAGCAGGATCCCCACATCACCCTCTTCCTAGGTTTGGAAGGCCCTCTTTGACAGTGGACAGGATGGAGCCACAATCTTATTATTCTTGCTAAAAGAATCATTGCATTTGATAGGAAAGGGCCTGAGGACTGGCCTGTAGATCCAGTAGGAGGCTAGCTGTCAGGGTTTTTGGTAATAAAAGTCCAGGAGATATCTTTCCTCTTTTCACTCAGGAGCCATACAGATGCGCAGCCTTTTTAAAGTCTGTGAAGGTGCCTTAGAATGTAGGCCATTACCCTTTTTTGGTGACTTGAGTCAAGAAATTATGGTTAGAAAAATAATCAAGTATGTTCCCTTACAAAGATTAAATAAGCCATTGAAAGATGGAAGCTCAAATAGCCAATGAGTGTCAAGACCAATGTACAATCAACCACTCAAGATCTTCCCCAAGGTGTACGGTTGGTGTGCACTCTCTCTATACTCCCTGAAGTTGGGAGAATGTGATAGGAAGACAGCAAGTTCAAAACCAGTCTGAACTACATAGTGAGACCATGTCTCAAAAAGAAAATAAAAACTCTCTGCACAGAAATTCTTCATTTAAATCAGTCAAGTAATTAAAAATATTTCTTTGCCTTGTACTTACAGAGACAGTACTTTTTCTTACCTGAGTATAATGTCCAACTAATGCATTAGGTGGATTTGGGCCTGAACCAAACCTGAAATCTTTGGCTTCATCGTACCAGCTTTGGATTGCACGAGACCATGGTGCTGGGTAACTTGCCAGGAAGATATTCTCACCACATATTATGTCTAAGGAAAAAGACAGAACACTCACAAAGACAGCAATAAAGAAAAAAGCGGGACACACCCACATGCATGCACACAGAATTCCTGATTTTTAAAGACACTGCTCACAGTTTCTTTTGAACATTGCATAAGAAACATGATTCAGACTTGATGAACCTTTAGCTGAACAGGCGCCATAGGTATTTAACATGTGTGCGCTAAACACCATGAGCACTAAGTAGATAGAGAAGTCTTTTCTTCAGTAGCTTCTCTCCTCGAACTAATTCATCCACCCATTAAATTCTGCATACCTGTCTGCACATGTGTATGTGTGTGTGCATGTGTGTGCAAGCCTGTGCCTCATGTGTACCAAATGTGGATTTGCAGTGTTAAAGAAGACCAAGACAAACTCCTTTCATTTCTCTCCAGAGGAGCAGGAGATTTTCTATAACAATTTTCCATATTTAGGAGTATTGTTCTGTGTGAGCCTTCTTTACAGTCATTCTTTAAAAACTACAAGTACAAAGCAAACAAAACAGAAGGGATTATATTTTCAAAGTTTATAGGTCATGTGTGGTGATATTTTATTTGTGCTCTAATAAATAAAGCTTATCTGTGGATCATGGGAAATGCTAGCCACTATGTTAAACATAGAGGCCAGGCAGTGGTAGCCCATGCCTTTAATCCTAGCATTCAGGAGGCACAGAGTCATCTGGATCTCTGTAAGTTCAAGGCCACACTGGAAACAGAGCCGATTGTGGTGGCACATGCCTTTAAACCCAACACCAGTTAACCATAGAAGTCTGGAGGTCAATACAGACAGACAGGAAGTGATAGAGCAGGGTGGGAAGAGAAAATAATGTAGCTGGGTAGAGAGAAGAAGTGAGATGGCAGGGCTCAGAAAGTTATATAGGCATGAGTACACAGGAAGTAGTCCTCTCTTTGGCTGAGGATTTCCTAGCGGTAAGACATGGCTGGCTTGCTCTCTGATCTTTTAGCTTTCATTCCAATACCTGTCTCCGGGTTTTTTATTAATAAGACCATTTAGCAATTTGTGTTACAGTCAGGTCTTAACTAGAAAATTAAAACTTCATAGGCCAGATTTTCTTCAGAGAATTGGAAAAAAGCATCTTTTAACTCCCAAAATAACTTAGTATTTTTTTTATCAAGCTCTGTAATTAAAAAATTACTTTACACTGTAACTGAATATTGCAGCCTTTTAAATTAATTTTTATTCATTATGATATTGAATTAGAAATGTCTAAGAAGTAAAACCTTTAAAAGAGGTTATTAATTTATTAGGTTCAAATTGGGCCAAACATGATCATTTTTAATATTTCAAGAAATATTTTATCTCATGGTCCATTTATTAATTTTGTTATCATTTTTACACTTTCTTATGTAAATATTGTTTGATAGTTTATTTTTAATTTAACATAATATGTCTTTTCAGGCATTCATAAGATGGCCTCACAAAAAAAGAAGGAAGAGCTGGGTGCACACACATTGGTGACTTAGACACAAAATCCCATTACTTGGGAAGATGAGGTTGGAAGATCAGAATTTTGAAGATATCCTGGGCTATACAGTGAGACCTGTCTCCTCTGCATCAAAAATAATGAAGGAAATAATAAATGTAAATACTAAGATATTTGATATTTCTTAGGAAAAATGAAGAATTAGTTGATCAAATTAAACATATCTTTTATAATTAAAAAGATAGCTTGGAAACACAACAAGCCACATCATTAAGAGAGTGGGTTAAAGACAAATTCTAATTTCAGAGTGCTGGAGAAATGAATGAGCATGTAGGAGTATACCTTGCTATTTCAGCAGACTTGAACTCAACTCCTAACATCCATACAGTGTAGCTTACCACCACCTGTGACTACAACACTGTAACAACCACCTGTAACCTGTAAGCTCCAGAGGGTTTGGTGTCTTCTGGCCTCTAGAAGCATTCTTACATACATGCACACATGCATAAATACACAGAGACACACAAACACATAAATAAAACCATAATAGGATAAAATAAAAAGGAGATTCTAATTTCAAATTTCCTTTATAAGGCCTTAATTGATAATTATTTTCATCAAGACATCAGTTTCTAATCTTCAAAGCAGAGAAGGCACAAAGCTGGCATCAGGAAAGACAGTTTGTGTAAAATACAAAACATCCAATAAGCACAAAGTGGAGCCTTTCAGAGCCATCTCTGCCCCAGAGATATTTAACTTTTAAAAAAGGAAGTATCAGAATACGTGTTCATTTACAACATTTTGTTAGCACAATGTGAGAAGATGGGCTTTCCTGTGTGACTCTCCATTCATTTGTAAGTAAATCTGAGTTTACATACTGGTGGTCCTGGCTTCTGGAGGACTGTGTACATAAGTGCATTGGTTTGCCCATCTCTGTGCATTCACTCGGGCATTGTTGCTCCATTGCTAAAAGGAAAAGGAAAAAAAGCCATAGAATAACTCCAACCTCAGAGTCACATGATCTTTGCAAAATTTCTGTAGGTACTTTCTCATTTTCATCATGATCAATATATAATATAGTATATGTTTAAATTTTATGTTAGCATGTATATTTTCAGCATTCATGGTGGCATTTATAAATAAGTTTATTTTTGCATATTTTCCACTCCCATCTTCCTGATCCTGCCCATCCTCCCATGCATGCCCTCTCACCCACAGCCTCCATTTGATGTCACACATGTTCTTTTCCTTCCACTTACCATGCCTTCTATCATCCCTTTACCCTCCTCATGGTCTTCTTACTAGTTTTATAACCTATGTCCAAAGATACTCCAACTTGTATATGGCCTCTCCTGTACCAAATAAATGCAAGTAGTCTGTCTTCCCAGGGCCACCAAAAATGCTAAAACTTTTTATGATCTAATGACTTACTGAAATCACAACAGGAACCCTTAAAGGCTGAGTAATTGCTGTAGAGCTAGTAGCAGTAACCATGTTGAAGTACTAAGACTATTTTTACAACTGTAAGAAGTTGCCCCAGAAATCCTAGCTTCATTTTTTCCCTCATTAAATGAACTTAAGAGACACAAGGATGTTGATTCTGGATCCAGAGAGTAGACTATTTAGTTGAAAGGTCACTGGACCTTAAAGGGGAAATGTTCTGACCCTAGATTAGGAGAGAGAAGAGTGAGCCAAAATAACATAATGGCATTTCACTGGAGACCAAACTCAAAAGATGTGACTTTAGTTCAGTAAATATAATTCATATAGCTCCATAATACCAATGAGTCACTGTTATAAAAGATATTTAATAAAATCTCCTCTGATCATTGCACAGCTAAAGACATAGAAGTAAAGAACTAACTCTGATATAATGGACACATACCCACATGCATGCACATAAAAAAAAACAACGAATACTTTTTAAAAGAGAAGCTAGAATAGAGGCAGACCCTCTAAAAGCACACAGCAGAAGCCAGATGTTATCCTCAGGCTCCCAACACAGCTCTCCAAATGCACTGTCCTGTTGTGAGCCCTCACCATCTTTAGTAAGTCACTACCAGGTGGAGAAACCAGTCTTCTCAGTTGGTTGTGCTTGTTTACAATCTCTTCTTGAACTGACACTCTAGTGGTTGACAAATCCTCAATATTCATATTCTGAATGGAAATAAAATTGAAGTCATGTTAGTGTATGTTAAGATTGCATAAAGAGGTGAATAAGTTGTCTAAAGTTAATGAAAGCCATTTTTAAAGTACTCAGGACAATGTTAGTCATTAAACCTTGATAATACATTTAAGAAAATCTATGCCTTTTCATTAGATACAGTTTAAATAAAATTTTTGAGAACAAAATGAATTTATGGCATGTCAAAGTAAAAACTCTTCTGAGGCTACAAATGTCAATTTTGATTTAAGTGAGATCTATAATGATAGCCATGTACAGTATAGATTTAAGTCATTCACACTCAGGCTGTAGAAAGGAAGTGCTAAGGAGGAAGACATAATTATTATAGACCTTAAGAGACAATAGCCATATGACCAGGAGTTTGAAAGCTTGTGAGATAATGTGTAGTCCCAGAGACAGTATATGTGTGCATTAGAGAATTTTATACGGAACACGGTTTTGTGATCACTCCAAAGACAGGTTTATCTAGTAGAATATCCAAGTCAATTTGGAGACAATGGGTTCTTGAAAATAGTTGAGCATTACTGACTTTACATTTCACTGGACTGCAATAAGTCTGCTAAGTGAACTCAGATGCTGATATTTAAATTTACCTTTTTAATTTGTGCGGGACAAGTGGATGGAATGATATTATATGAGTTGACAGAGATATAAGAGCCACTTGCTGATACAAACATACTCAATTATGTACTGTTTTATAGTGTAGAGCAAGATGTTATAGCATAACTATTGACGGATTGACTCTCACATACATTTTATCTCAGTGCTGGGATCAGTTGTTTCTCCTTCATGCACTTTTACTTCCCTCAAGACTTTGCAGACATTGCACCCATGGATCTAATCACACTGCATTGCCAGTGGTTACTACATGTCCATCTCTTCCTAATGTTTTATGTTCTGAAGGCACTAATGAGAGCCTTGTGTGAAAAGATCTCTCACAGCTAGTGATTTCTAAGGCAGAAAAGATGTATATGTTAAAGTCATTGTTTGAAAATCCTCATATTTTATTTTAATGTAAATTAACAATATCCCCAGATGTTATTTATTAAGGGAATGACATCATTTTCTAAAACATTTTTAAAATTAAGTGTATCTGTTTGAGTTCAATGTGGGTTTGTGTAATGAGTGCAGTGTCAGTGGAAGACTTAAGAGAGTTTTAGATTCCCTGGAGTGTGCGTTACATATGGATGTAAGCCACCTGAGGTGAATCCTGGAAACGAAAGGGTCGTCTTCAAGAGCAGTAAATGCTCTTATTCATAAGTCATCTCTTGAAACTACCAAACTCAGATGCTTCATTTTAACCTGAAAACTCTACCTAAAGATGTTTTATTTCTAAAGACAAAATATATGGCTTCTAAGAAAGGAATTAATATTTTCTGCTTGTTATTCAAACTTCCGTGGTAGCTAAAAATTCCATAAGACAAGAGTGTGCTTATATTTTCTTAACAGGAAGTTGTAGAGATTTACAGAAAAACATACTAGAAACACTGAAATGTGAGAATGAAATGTTAAATGGCTTATTTTGGATTGGAATGTGCCCTAATAATTACAACACCACAGAGTAAAACCAAGAATAACAACAATAAATGACACCGGGAGATGAATTAGTTCTCCATGGTAACTCTCAAAGAAACCTTCATTCATAAAACATGGCTTGAATCTCTCTGTTATTTGGATCTTGAAAATTTGTGAAGAAGTATCAATAGACCAAAGAGAGAAGAGAAGAGGAAGGGATGAGGGGAAGGAGACTAGTTCAAAATTGCCATATAATACAATCCTTTTAGGAAAGAAACTGGGAATGCAAACAACTTGAAAGAACACATAGATAATAGTCTCCAGATTACTAACATGATTATGGTAACAAAAGACATATCATTTACATTCCAAAACAGGTTTACCAGTTGTTGGCACTCCCTACTCTTGAGGAATTCTAGTAGTCTTCAATGCAGAAGCCAAAGAGGAGAATGAAGGCTATAGCAATCGCCAATGCTTCTAATTTTTAGTAGCTTTCTAACTAAGGGGAGGGAATTTTGCTGGTAGTATACATTCCATCATTAAAGAAGGTGACTGAGCCTCATCTGCGATTGTCTAAGCATAAGAAGATATTTTAACTATTAAATATTTGGCTCTTGTACATACTTACTGTTTGCATAGTAGATGTACTTAATCACTCTTCGGTGTGTGTGTGTGTGTGTGTATGTGTGTGTGTGTGTGTGTGTGTGTGTGTGTGTGTGTGTGTGTGTGTGTGTATTACAGTTTTAAAGAGTGATCCTATAGCTTCCTAGCCTTTATAGTTGCCTAAATTGTTCTGATAAGAAACTAAATCTTACCCATACCTCATTGTCATCTTGAAGAAGAAGTGATGGGGGCAATACAGAAGCCAGGAACAACAACAGGAATAATATCATGTCTAGGAAACAAAGAATAGAAAAAAGATCTACATTTAAATGTTTAGTACATGGAGTTCTGAATAACGCAAAACGTATGGGGGAAGTAATGAGACCCATTTCCTAGATTTACTAGCAATGTAGCAAGAAGGGCACACTATTTATATCATCAAAATGATAATAAAATCAATTCAAGAAGCCTGCTGCCAACTGGTGCAATAAGGAAAAAATCAAAGTGCCTAAGTGAAGCTCTCCAAAGCATGCAACTATGAGTGCTCTGGGTGATTAGTGTCTCCTCCCCTGTCACACTCTAATCCATGGAGGTCCTCTGTTCAGATTCTAGAAATTTAGGATATACACACAATTTATACATGTAAAGAACCTACAATCTACATGAGTATATTCACCTATGATCAGAAAAATGAAATGTTTTGTTTTCTGCTTGTCTTAAGTGTATTTTATGGGCCAGTTGTATATTTTGATGATCACCAATTACATATTTATTTCAAGTTCTGAGCCATAACATTGAGTTGGACAATTTAAAATCATCAGCAAGGCTACCATTTCATCCATAATCTAATAATATTTGCATTAGTGCACAGAAATAACCCAGCAGTCACAAATCATAGTTCTAGTAAAGATACCTCTAATATAACTACTTTGAAAAGTCATAGACATTATTTCTGATTTTAGAATAAAGAAATTCATCCCGACAAATCTGTAAAAAAGCATTTCCAGGATAACAAATAAGCTACTTAAATCATGTATACTTAGCTTTAGAGATTAAATAAAAACAAGTGTACTCATACAATTATAAGTAGGGACTGACAACAGTCCAGATGTGCAATTGCTAACTATAACATTTTGCTGCTGTTGAGTTATAAATGCACAGGCATCAGGAGATTCATTTTAAAATAACAGAGTGCTACTCACTGCTGGTATCCAAGCAGAATGAAATGTTTGTTCTGCTGGAAGAAGAAAGGTGGTGACAGACAAGAGTCGGAACTGTCAATATGAACTCTACCTATTTCCTGCTTTGACACAATCTGGTTGTGCAAGCACATCATCTTTAACAAGGTATGATACAATATCTGTCATGGCAGATTTTTATAGCTGGACATCTAACTGAAATTTCGACATCATATGGGGACTCTGTATATGGCTATCAGAAACAAATTATTAGAGAATTTTACTAGCTCTTAAGTGCTCATCTAATGTGATAATGTATCTACATATTTGTCAGTAGATGCTCCTAACCAACTCATTGGCATCTTATCAGAGCTGTATTTCTCTCTTTTAACGGGGCTGCAGAGGCGACTCAGTGGTTAAGAGTAACTTATGCTCTTACAGACAATATAGAGTTCACTTCCACCCATGTCATTTGTCTCACTACTGCTTGTAACTCCAGCTCCAGGGACTTGACAACTTCTAGTCTCCCTGAACACTTTGTTCACATGCACATACCTCTACACAGAAGCAAATATATACATATGTGCAAGATTAAAAAATTCAGTTGAGAATAAGTATTAGATTATACTTTTCATGATCTCTAGAGAATTCAAGATGTCTTCACAAAAATCCAAAGCATCCATAAAAAATTGTTGGACCATATTGATTTAGAAAATAATTGTGTGCTTTACCTTTGTAAATTCAATGTGATAGTGCTTTGCAGAGTATATTGGCATAAAACCCCAGAGCCCTCTGGTATTTTTAAGGTCCCTAGTATTAGCTTTTTATTTTCTGGTCGAATGAAGTTTAACACAATATTGAGCAACATAACAAATTGCTGTCATTTGAGTATGAGAATCCACACAAATTTTTGTGGTTTCTAAGCTCATTTCTGCAACATGAAAATGAAGCAGGATAGAATAACAACAAGTTTTCTATGCAATGATGTTAAGAAATCTTCTTTGATAAATGAGCAAGAATAAATTATGCAATCACAAGTAGTACATACATAGCACTGAGAGTCATTTCTGGAGGATCATGTTGTCATATACATTATAATATGTCATGCATAATTCAATAATCTCTTCTCATTTTCTTATTTATCTTTAAGTTCACTGAATCTACTCAACACATGTTTGAATTGTATTTAATAATAGGCTTACCTATTAGACACTGTTTAATACTATCTTTAAAGCTCAGGGTGGACTTGACCATAAGAAATTAAAGGCTAACAGGTTGCTTAACTGTCTTTCATCACCTCTTCATATGTAGTTTTTAAATATACAAATGAGAGCTGAGTGGTGATGGCACACACCTATAATCCAAGCACTTGGGAGGCAGAGGCAGGTGGATCTCTGTGAGTTTGAGGCCAGCCAGGTCTACAGAGCAAGTTCCAGGACAGCCAGAGCTACAAACAGAGACACAGTGTCTCAAAAAATAAACAAATAAATAAATAAAATAGATATACTAGTGAAATATGAGCTCTAAGTAATTAAGTAACATTCCTGAATCACATTACCTTCAGATATGCTGTCTCTTCCTCCAGCTTTCTATGAAAGAATGTGTCAAGAGTGTGATCATAACAGTTTCCATCCTCACCCTGATGGCTGCTTAATGGTGTGCAAAATTGTCATAAGCTTGAGATTTCAGTTCTCATTAACATTGTGAAATTTTTATAATGATGTCCACTTTAATGTATATGTGGGAAATACTCTTTAGTTTACTTCAGATAAGATGATAGAGTACATATCATCCATTGCCATGTAGCAGGTAATTTCAAGGTCTTTCTTTTTCTGTGTTGAATGCTTCTTTTCCTTTTCCCTGAATAAAAGTACTCTGTACATCTATGAATTATGTGAGAATAAGTTGATGTTACTAACTAATAGGGAGTAACTTGTTCTGTGAAAAATATCCATGAGAAGTGGATGAAAATGTCTTGGAAGGCAAACATCTGGTGGCTTATGATTCCTGCTTTATGAATTTTCTTAAATTTAATACTTATGATCATTAAATATGCTATGATATAGGAGGATGCTGTGATTCATGAAATAACACACATGAATTCAAGCATCAAAGTGACATTAGATTTTCAATTTGGTTGCTGTTTGTCAATTTTGTTTCCTCATTTCTCACTATTTTTCTGACCATTTCTTCTTTGACATGTATTATAGCAAATGCTCATTTTTCATAACCCATGTTTCTAATTGTAGACTCCAGAGAGTCTACAGCTTACAGCTTATTTTTAGTTGGAAAGTTAAATGAATCTATACAAGGAATGTCAAAAATCTAGAGAACAATATGCATTTAGTTGAAGTCTAGTTTACTCCAATCAAAATGGTTAATGTTCTAGACAATCCCTTAAAAATGTTTTCTAGATTTACAAGTATATGAAATAATGTATGATAACTCAATTCATGTGTACCATGTGAGATGATAAAATCAAGGTAGTTAGCAGCATTGTCTTTATCATTATGACTTCATGCTTTCAACTTGTAGTTTGTATCTCCCAATTATCTGTAGCAAGCCATCATGGTAATCCCTTTGTATGGCCTAGGACATCAGAGCTTATTATTTATGTCTGTGTTTTAGAACATACTCTCTAAACTTCTTCTACACTACACCATTGCCTTTGATAGTTGTTCCAAATTCAAGTTGCTTTTTCCCTTAATCAAAATATTATACATTTAATAAATATATTTAAGCAGAGATTCTGTGGCATTACAATAAATATTTGATATACTGAGTCATAATTGCAACAAAAGACAATCTCACTACTAAATTAAATAGATAATTAAATGACAGGAATTATTTCACAATTCTGTTACTCAGCAGCTAAGACGTGTCCAGAGGGGCAATCTAACATGTATAATCTGAGAATAATATTTTTCTTAAAATATAAATATTTAGTGGACTTTCTTCTACAGTTTAACCACATTTCTCATTTACTCATTAAGAATCATTGAGTTAGTCAGAGCAATTTCATGTATTGGGTTAAATATGTAATCTAAATAATGAAGAAATCATTTTCATAGTTACAGTTCTTTAATCCATCAAATTATGCTCATTAACCAGATTGAGAAATAAGTCCTTTCTCTTGGTGAACGATAACTGAATCAACATACAAGATAGGCTTAAGTGCCTATACCACTAAATCACCTTCTATCATTTTCCCTCAGTTTGCAAATCTGTAGAGAAAACCACAGTACAAATGATATTTCTTTTTCTGTATTTTTAGTGCATAGATGACTGTTTTTAACTATTTAGAGAAAATAAAGATCCATGGTTTGTGCATTTTGTAACTTGTTTGTTAATCTTTGATCTTAATTTTTATAGCCTTAAGTTCTTCTGGACTTAGTTTTAAAACTGCCAGGAAGGACATAAAGGTCACTGAAGAAAACAAATGCTACTTTCGGGATAGATAAGCTCCAATCAGCTGGCTTTTTAATAAAACCATATAAGCATAGCTCATATGTTCATTTAGAAATACATGCCTGAAGTACTAAATCATGCCATATGTATATTTTTCTCATCTATGATGAGAAAAGACATTTTTAAAACTATAATAAGCCACAATAAATATCAGTGTGTAGATATGTCTTCCACAGGATGATGAGACTTCCTGGGAGGTGGCACATGTTGACCCAAGGAAATCACTTGATCACAGCCAGAAGTCAACACTGTTGGCCAACACATACAGCAGTTGAGGACACAGTCTTCTCAGAATCCTTCTTCCCACTGTGATGCACAGTCCCCTTGGGATACACAAATAGAATCTACCATAGGGTGACATTTACAGTGTTACAAAATAACATATCACAAAGGTAATGTTGAATAGTTAAGACTTTTATCTTATACATGACTCACCCTTTATTATAACCAAAGTTGAGCACATACATGTTTTCAATAATGCATATCGAATTATTGAATAAGTCAAGAGGAAATGAGAAAAAAGAGGGAGAAGTAGGCCAATTTAGAAGAACAAAAAGGGAGGAGGGAAAAATAACAGTAAGAATGTTTGAAAAAACTCTAAAGAATTGTTTTGTTTTTTTCTAAAATTACATATAATACATATAAGCATATGTGTATATAC